GATTTGTTCTGCCATTGAAATCGCAAATACTTGCGATGTTCTTTCGCAATGGGCACGGCAAAATATGCATCTTTCAGGTCGATTGATGCCATAAAGCACTGAGGCCGTATAAGGTGCAGTGCAAACTGAATGGTTTCCATTTTGAAATGGTAATAGGCCACTGATTTGTTCAATTCTCGAAGATTGATAATCGGCCGAAAAGATCTGTCCTTCTTTGGACGAATAAAAATTGTAGAAATAAACTCCCCAGCCATGTGGGTAACTTGCCTAATTGCTCCTTTTTGGAGAAGCTTAATTATTTCTGCCGAAATAATGTCAGTCTCATTTTGAGAAAACGCCATTTGTTTCGGCTGATACAACTGGACAGGTTGTTCGGCAATTCTATAAAGTAATGCTGTATTGCCTCTAAGACCCATTTGTCCGAGGTTACAGTTCGCCATTTGGCTACATAGTAGGCTAATCTACCTGCAATTTTGGTACATGTATTGTCAATGCAATGACTCACCAGTTTGTTGCTTGGCAAATCTACTTTTTGGCTTCTGCCGATGGCTGCGGTTTGTGATTCCACCGAGATCCCTGGTGCTTGCTGTAACGCTGATAGTTTAAATAGCTACCGCGTCTTCTGCCGGCACTAGCCAGGTTCCCTCTGTGTAGGGAACCCTTGTTGTCGGTCCCCCGCGATCCAGTAGAGAATCCAACTTTCTGTCCAATTTTGTTCGTTTGTTGGATGTCTTTACATTGTTGCGGTAAATTGTCCCCAAACAGGAGCTCAGTTACTGGAACATGTGATGAACACAGGCCAGAAAACTGTTTGTTTAAGGCAGGCTTAATTAACTCACGTCTTCTCATATTGAGCTCGTGGTTGGCATGCCCGATCACTGCTACCGCGTCAAGCAGTTTGGGTGATTTCACCCTTAACATCTAGATTATCAGTACATGCGTCATGAGCGAATTTATTACGCCCACAATAGGCACCACTCCTTTCATAGTGCTTGCTGCACTTTTTGCAGCTTTATGTCTTGTGACCGAGTTTTCGGCTTCAAAGAGCTCCAGACCTCTGGATTGACTCGTGTACATTCCAGATTTGTTTTACATTGGTTGGTCGTTGGAGGGCCTTTAGCTTTTCAGCAGCCTTATCTTCTGGTAGCTTGTTACGCACCATTTTATCAATGACCTTAGCCAATTTTTCATTGACTGCAGCAGCAGTCGGGGCATCCTCTGTGTATAGCTGTTCGAAATTGTTTAACAGCTGGTCGTCCTGGCCTGTAGTTTCTGAATCGAGAACTGATTCTTTGAGCAGTTCATCTATGGCCTTTGAGGCACTTGTATTATCAGAGTCCGACGCTAGGCGCGGCCGCTTTGCGGCAGGTGGACTGAGGATGGCCGTTTGAATATTTTCAATAGCTTCTGCCATTACGGCTAGCTTTCCGTTACGTCGACAAATTCTTGTCGAGAAACGGTCTTGGTTTTACGGGTCTTTTCTTTCGGTTTGACCGAAGAAACATTTTGGTTCTCGCCCGTATCCTGCTGGGTGTTCAAGTCGTCGACTGTCCGACGGTCAAGCCATTAATTCTAAGAAATCTGTTTCTAGTGTGCTATCCATTGGGATGTCTTAACAGACTGAAATACACTGTATAACTGTAATACACTGTGTGACTCGCTCCGGCACAGAAAAATGTATTGAGGCGTGCAGGGCGTGGTGGCCCTTATATAGGGAAGAGAGTCTATTCAAAATCTGTCAACCGTGACTAATCCTCCGGTGGAAAGTGTAATCTCATGTAAGTCCGAAGTGGAGGTGATTATGAGGTAGAATTTGGGGATTTTAGTAATCTTCTCCTAGTCTCAAATGTGTTGCACCACAATCCAAGATGGCTGCCATCCAGATCTTGGTTGGTCTGCTGTTACTCCTCTCATCATATCAGCATTTACAGGCAAGGAATTGGACATTTGTGACTGATATTGACTGTTATTTTCTGCCCTTAAGACATGTTGTGATACCATGCAACACGTTTCAGCCTCTGTTGATATGTACATCCACAACCATAACATTAACAATGAGACTTTGTCCTGCTGGATTTCATTCATCCAAAGTTCCATCAATTAAATGGTCCAAACATGGACAAACCTGTCTCCTTATTCTGGGGCATGACCCCCTTTGGACATTACCATTTATGGATATCTCTGTTAACCCTGGACAACAGCCAACAACACTGTCTGCTTGGACAATGGTGAGTTGAGTAATTTGCAAACGGACATGCCATCCATACAAGTATTCCCGTTACAACTTCTTGCTCTTCGGAGTTCTGCTCGAAGCTCCATTCAACTGGAACAACTGAAAATACTCAAACTGAATGGAATTTTTTCGATTTAGAGGTAAAAGAGCAGGCCAGCGCACTTATGCCCCAAATAGACAACATTACATGAATAACATGCGTAATAAA